TATAGAATTTATAGAATTTAAAAATTATATAGAAAAAAGATTGAGTTTTCAAATGATAAAGGATTTGAACAAATATCTCTTCAAAGAAAACATAGAAATCACCAAGAAGACATGGAAAGATGTTTCACGACTTTAATCATCTGGGAAATACTAATTAAAACCAAGGTGAGATACCACCTCACCCCCACCAGGTTAGCTAACATCAACAGGGCACACGATGTCCATGGTTGGCAGTGCCTCAAAAAGGATTAAACATAAAACTTCTACATAATCCAGCAACTCTACTCTGAGGCAAGTGTCTGAGACAGGAAAACATGTCCACACAAACCCTTGTACATGAATGTTTATAGCAGATTGTATATGGTATGCAAAAGATGAAAGCAGTCCAAGCATCCATCACGTACTGAATGGATAAACAAAGTATAGTGTATCCGGGCAAAGGAATATTATTGAGCCAGAAAAGGTATGAAGTCGGGAGGCTAAGGCAGGAGGATTACTTGAACCGAGGAGTTCAAGACCAGCTTGGACAACACAGGGAGACCTCATCTTAAACTGGAAAAAAAAATTCAGACTCTTGCTACAATATAGATGAATATGGACAAACACTGAATGTACTTTGCTACGTGCAGGAAGCCAGAAACAAAAGTCATGTGTTATATGATTTCTCCTCTATGAAATGCTGAAAAGCGGCAAACCTATGGAGACACAAAGGAGACTGGTGATTGCCACGATTTGGGGGAAGAGAAGAAAGAGCAGTGACCACTAATCGGTATGGGTTTCTCTGTAGAGCTGGGAGAACATTTGGAATTAGATCGTCGTGTATAAATTATATGTCAACAAATCTGATTTTTACCAAAAAACTAGGTTATCTTAATCTATATCTCCCCTCTCAAAAAAAAAGACACATTAAAACTTATTAAAAGAAATTTAGGGAAAGTCTCATGAAGGAGAAGAAAAACATGCTAAGTTTATTCCCTCAAAAATGTATAGTCTTTCTTTTCCAAAATGCAATCAAGCACCTATAAGCGTTCACATGTCACCAGTTATGTGACAATGTTCCATAACAGATTACTTGTGTTTGAGCAGATAGTTTGGCTAAAATTGTCTCTCCTAAACCCAATACAAAAATGAAAGTATAAGGGAGCTATTAGAGAAGAGGCAGAAATAAGGGAGGGGGCCAGAGAGACAGAAAGGAAAGAGGTCACAGGGAATTGAAATAATCGAAGTATGTTATCTGCGTGTACAAATACGTCCGTCAAAACCCTTTATTCTGGTTAACTAATGTGTACTTAAAAAAACAAAGAGCTGGTTGTGGTGGTGCATGCTTGTAATCCCAGCCCTTGGGAGGCTGAGGTGAATGAATCACAAATTCAAGCCCAGCCTGGGCAACTAAGTGAC